TTTTTTGCCTTCCGCTTTCAGCCCGATTGCAGCCAATTTGAACGAGAAGATTTTAAGATCAATATTTGCCCTAACTTTGGGTAAGAATTTTAAAAAGTAAATAAAAGGGAAGATTACCTATATAATTGGTGTACATATATATAAAATATTTAATTGCATTGATATTTATTTTGGTGTATAAATTTAAAATTGTTCAGTTGTGTTATAAAATGCAATTGCACTTCAGAATTGCTTTAAATTTTTTGCAGTGTATATATGTTACGCCCAAACACAACGAATACCAACTACCCTATATCCAATTGACTTGCGAAAAGTGTTTATCTGGCAATTTATAGTTTTCCTTTTTATCACTCAGACAGACACACACACACACACACACACACACTGGCTCAACTAGCTGCCAATTTAGAATATTTTTTCAATTTTCCCATTTTCCATTCCGTTTTTCTCAAACTCTTTGTAGGCGTCAAGAAATGGATATTGTTCGAAGTTTTTCCTTTTTCATTTTCAGCCATGAATTCGAATAATTTTAATGGCCATTTCTTGCTGCTTCTTCAAATTCATGAACATCGAACATTTTTACAGCTACCTCCACCCCCCCCCCCTCCCCCTTCCACCATCTTGAACTTCAGCCCCTTTAATATTCCAAAAATACGTCTAATTAATTGACTTATTTATTTGTGCTTATTTTTTTCCTTTGGATGCACTTCACTTGATTAATTGGCAGAGGCAAGGGCGCAAGGGGGGGTGGAGGGGGGAGGGGGAGTTGTAGTGGCAGGGGGGTTGGAATTCAAATAGATTGTCCGCACTTTTTGCGCAATTTTCGTTGATTTATTTAGCATATTTTGATTTATGTTTTTTAATTTCGCTCGCGTTGGAAAAACTGACTTTGGGCGCTGGCAGGGGGGGGGGATGTGCAAGAGAGGAGGGAGGAGTGGGGGGGGGGGGGTATCTAATGAGTCTGCAGCTAATAAATTTGCATTCGCCATGCATAATTTCTCAGGGGAAATACAAATGTCAAATAAATAAACACACACACACACACACACACACACATAGACACAGGGAAAACATTTCTAGAGAGGCCCGAAAATTCTTCAGAAAAACAAAAACAAATAAAAATAAAAACATTATGCAAAATATTTGTTGGTGTCTGTCGCTGGGAAATTACCCAAAGAAAAAAAGTTTCGCATAAATTTCAATGAATTGTTTTTTGAAAGAAAATTTATGCTAGATTTCAACTTTCTTATTTTTAGTTGCGTTTAATTTGATTTTAAAGTTTTTTACGCTAAATTTATCATAATATTTTAATTAATAACCATTGATATAATAGTTAACGATATTGATAATATTTATTTGCATATTTTTGAATTTATTTTTTAGTCAGTTTTCATTTATTATTTTAATTAATTATTTATTACATTTTTATTTTGTATTATTTCTATTTCTTTAATCTTTTTGATCATATATATATTTTTTCTTTTATTTTGATTTTATATTATTTTTATTTTTTATTCAAATGTATTTTTCATTAATTAATTTGTATTAATTACATTATTTTATTTAAACTTTTATTTTTTTATTATTTACGTTTGTTTTAAATGTTTCCATATATGTTTAAACAATTTGCTTCTCTTTTAAATAAAATAAAAAGCTAAATCATTTGCCAAATTATTTAACTTGCAGAAAATTTTTAAAATATTCGTAAAATGTTGCACTTGTAACTGATTCGATTTTCTATGATAATATTTTGCCTTTTGTTGCTGTTGTTGTTATTTTTTTACTGTTGTTGCTTTTGTTGTGTAAACACTTTTGAGCCGCTTGCACTTGATGTTTATTTGTTGTTTTTTTTTTTTCTTATTTTATTTTTATTATTATTATTATTATTTTCTTTTTAAACGCACAGCGAGCGTCGCTTTTCTTTTGCTTTCGGCTTGTGATTTGCTGCTGCTGCCGTTGTTGTTGTTTTTGCTGCTGTTGCTTTCAGTTGCGGCTGCTGCTGCTGCTGCTGTCGTGAGTCGTTTGGCAGTCGGTTTATAACTGGCACGAGCCGCTGCCAGCGAAGCAGCACGAACCGAATGCGGACAGAGACCGTTGACGTTGACGTCGGCAGCGACGCCAGCAGCGAGAAAGTTTGCGTTTGCATTGTTGCAGCGCAGCAGCAGCAGCAGCAGCAAAAGCAGCCAAGCGAATTTTTCAGCGCTGTAAAATGTGCGCGAACGTGTGTGCGTGTGTGTAACTGTGGGGGTGGCTGCAAGCTGTCAAGCTGTTATGTTAAGTCTGTCTGTTACCTTTAACAGCGCGTCGCCGTTTGGCTTATCAGTTGTCGCTGTTGCTTGTCAGCGCTGACGTCGCTGCCAGCGTCGCTGCCTGCTGCCGCTTTCATGTTAAAACCAATTCGTTTGTCATTTGTTTAATGACACAAATATTTGTGCAAAGTGTATGTGTGCGTGTGTGTGTGTGTGTGTGTGCCACTCAACTCATTTTCAATTTCCATTTTCTTTTTGCCCATTTATTGTAATAATATTGTCTGTTGTTTATTTTTTTTTTTTTTTTGGCGTCATAAAAGTTTTCCGACTTGTTTTCAACGTAGCTACTCTGTGCGCGTGTGTGAGTGTTGCAAAGTGTGCTATAAATTTGATTACTACATAATAGCCCCCAATAATAAAGCGACTAATGACAATACTTCGGCAGGTGCTGCGGTGGTAGGCGGAGGGTAGGGTGAGGCTGGGGTTAAGCTTTTGTGCGCCTTCGTTTCTGTGCGCCTTTCACCCAAATTGAATTCCATTTGATGACTGTTAAATTAAGTTGAAATGTTCTGCTGCCTCGTCTTACGACACACCCGCCACCCCCACACCCTGCTAGCTTTGGTAACTGTAACAAGGACGCGCGAGAGGAGTTGTCGGGTGGGTACCAGCGCTCGAGTTTCACAACCCTCGCAACAACAGCAACAACAATGTAAACAACTAAATAAGGAAGTGACACCGGAAGCGCTGGCAGCGCAGCCAGCAGCAGTGCTGCGACGCCAGCAGCGACGCGTGGCTAGCAACGCGCGCGCGGTATGCGCAAAGGAATGTCTCAAAAAAATATACTGGCAGCTCCTGCCAGCAATAACAGCAGCCCAAGGCAAGAATCACTCAAAGCCCGGCAGCGCAACAGCGACTGCGACAGTGGCAGCGACTGCGAGAGAGGGTGAGCGAGAGCCGACGCAGCGTCGCGCAGGAGTGTAATGTTTGCACTCTCTTTTTCTCTCTCTCTCTCTCTCTCACTCGCTGCTGCTCTCGCTAGCAAAATGCCAACGACACCGGCCGGCTGAAACTAGTAAGAGCCACAGCCAAGCTTCAGCCTACCCTTGCGCCGCCCTCCAGACCCTCTTTGGCACACTCTGCCACGCACTTTGCAGTTTAACCTATAAAAATACCGCAGCAACAGCGGCGACGGCAGCAGGTTTGCGACTGCAGCAGCAGCATGAAAAATGTTGGCGCTGCTGTTGCGTTTACTGTTGCTGCTCAGTGTCTCTGCGCGCCTGTTACGCACGCAACGAAGTTGCTAACACACACACAGACGCGCGCGCAAATACGCAGCGACGCGAGCGACGTTGTTCTGTTACGAAGCTGTTGCTGTTATTGCTGTAGCTGTTGCTGCCTTTTGTTGTTGTTGCTGTTGTTGTTGTCAGTGCCGTTCATTTATTTGATTTTGTTGTGATTATGCGCAGTGCATGAGCGTCAGCGCCAGCGCCAACGTCGGCGTCGCGCTGTAGCCAGCGACCCATGGAGGGCATTGAGTACTTAAAAACAATAACAACAACATGAGCAGCATATAAAATATGTAATGAGCGAGCGCAGGCGACTTGCAGATACCCTGGAATAAAATATTTAACATCTACAAATTTAAATGAAAATGTGAACCAAATACAGAACAGCAAAATGAACAACATTTTTAAATATTTCTTCTGCTAATATTGCTGATTATAAACGAACAACCAAAAAGTATGGCCTCTAATATACCCTGTAAATATATGAAACATATGCAGGAAAACTAATAAGATGCAAATATCTTATATGATTTTGCAAATATCTATATTTTTTACTCAATGAATTGCTTTGTAGAGCAATGAATTTTCGGATTGGAAGTACAGACTAGTTAATTGAAATAGTAAGAAATTTGAAATCTGAAAAGCAGGGAAATATATGGAAATACATATATACTTAGTTATCTATAACACAGATGAGTTATCGACGTGATTCCACCATCAAGACTAATGACTGAGAAAGTTGCTGGTTCGAACCTAGGTTAAGTCTAACCAGGGCGTTATTTAGACCGTAATATTGGTAGCTTATGACTATATCCCCTTCTGATAAGAGTAACTGATTACTCTGAGTCGGACATTCGGTCAACTGAAGAAGGTTGCTGGTTCGAACCACGAAATAGCGCCTTACTGTAGAAATGTCTTAGGCAAAGGCCATGACCCAGTACAACTTAGTTGATAAACCTCTGTTCTATACGGATAATATAAGTAAATATTTCGATTTTTATGGTATATCTCATGGGTTTAGTTGTGTACCTTTCGGATACGCAATGCCCAGCACACCTCGTGCGAAATCGTGCTACCCGGCGATTTCGTCATGTGTTGGCATGGCCAGAGACGGAGACAGAGACGGAGACGGGGAGGGAGGCGGAGACGTTGGTGGCAGGGGCAACGACAATGGCAGCCATTTCTATGGCTCTGTTTTCTGTAGCTGTTGCTTCGATGTTGCCTCGTAAAAACTCATTGCCAGTTCGGGGCGGCGTTCAACTGGAAATGCGGCCCAGCCAGAGGCTGCAGGTGTGTGCCCGTCCAAAGATATATAGATATATGTATATATATGTATCTGAATGTACATATATATATATATGTGTGTATCTTTTAGATACTTGGCCTGAGTGCGCGTCCGATGGCAATGCTTAATTAGCGGCTGGCAGCATGTTTGAGTTTTATAAATGATGTTCGAGATGGGGGCTCGGGATCTGAACCAGGTTTATTTCATGTACAACACACACAAACGATCAACAATCAATTAATTTTGTCAACGCCAAAACTTTCCGAGACATGAACTCTAGACGACCTGGGGCTCCTCCCGCCGATCTGAATGATAGCGTATGGTAAAGCTATCGAAACTGTGCACAGGTATCTCCTTTGTGGGCGTGAACTCGGCCCGCTCGATGACCGCCTTCTCGCTGCCAAAGCAGAGCAGCCAGAACTTTAGCTCGTTCACCTTTGGGAGTGTGCCCTCCAGCTCGCCGGTAACAGTTCCGCGATCCGTGTTCATCACCCAGCCGCGCACCCCGTTCGCCAGGGCCAACGAGCGGGTTGCTTTGCGCATTCGCACGCCCTGCACCTCGCCGAACACCTCAAAGCCGCAGGTAAATATTTGATCCTCTGGAGTTTGCATGCTGACGATTATTGAATCAAATTTAATGTATATTCCGTATTAAGGTTTTGCTTTCGCTGAGAATTGTGAAAACAAATTGGAATTGATATTGTTCAGAGCTCGCAAGTTTTTTTTTTCAAAGCCAACTTAGTTCCCCCTCTCCACTTTGGCTCTTAATATATGTATACTTTTGATATATTAACATCTCGAGTTGCACAGGGTATCGAAATTCTTTACATAATTTCATAAAGATCTTTGAAAAAGCCAAAAGCCAAGACATTTTAAATTCCACGCGTCGTGGTGGAAAATGTGTGGAATAGCTCAATCTTCGTTTTCACGTGCATCCGAAAAGCCAGCTACTCCACCAAAAAAGATAATCATCAGGCACTCAAACAGTTAATCGGTTATTCAGGATCTAGGGTTTCTTGTCTATATGTTTGAAAGAAATCTACCCTAACTTTATGCAGTCTATAGATATCCGTGTGAAAAAAAAACGGGAATGACTTGTGAATTACGCAACTCGCATGGATTCTTATGTGATGTGCTCGGAACTTGGTTTCTATTGGCAGCACCCTCGCAGCTAATCACATTGTATCTTTTGTATGGCCTTATCCAATATCCCATATCAGCGCTGGGGACTCATAAATCACATGCCACACACAGAAGGACACACACATACACACATTGACACTCTCTGGTTCATCTCATGGCAATCCAATCAACTGGCAATGCCACAAAAAGTTAACAACAACCACCGTCTTGCCAAATGTTGCAACCCCCCCTCCCCCTTCCCCTTCACGCCGTCCCCTCCTACCAGCACCGCCCCTGAACCACGGCAAAACAATAACTAGGCGAGATAAACAGACAACATTTGGCGGTAATGCAAACGTTGCTGCTGACGACGATTCTATGGCAAATATTTAATATGATATTTATGGTGAATGCGGGCGGGCGGGCGGTCGGACGCACGGTCGAGCCAAGACTGGGCAAAAAGAGGCCGGTGATAAATGACTACGGCGACGGCGACGGCGACGGCGACACTGCTGCCTGCCAACTCCCCCTATGCCAAGGCAGCGCAGCAGCAGCAACAAAAGCAGCGACGTGCTCATTCAAATGTAACAGCACGAGCCGCTGCCGCTGCCGCCGCAGTCGCTGTCGCTGTCGCTGCCTTTCGTTGAGCCGAAGGTGAGCAAGCTAAATCAAACAAGCCGAAGCGCAAAAACAAAAAAATATACAAAATAAAATAAACAATGGTGAAAAACGCAACGCTTCAAGGGATTTCGCTGCTGTTGTTGTGATTGTTGAGCAAACTTGGGCTTCAATTGCGACGCATAAAACTTGACTTGAACTGAACGAAAAGCAGAGAAGAGCGAGGTCAGCGCAGCAGAGCTCAAATCGGCTGTTAACAGCGAGTTCGAGAAGCGTGCGAATGAGAGCAAATGCAAGCTGAGCTTAGGGCACTGTTATTAACAGGCGATCGTTTGTTTCACTTGAAAATTTAATATCAAGCGAGGTCAGCGCAGCACTGTTACTAACAGCGAGAGAGAGAGAGAGAGAGAGTATATGCAACTTGCGCTTGAAGCGAACTGTTAGCTGCATTTGCTTGCTGTAAAAGCAATCACTGTTCGATCCTCATTTAACAGCTACACTCTAGTATGTTAAATAATGCAAAAATGCCTTAAAAACTAAATTCAACAAGATTTCTCGTACGCACCAATAACAACAAAATACATAAAAGTACAGTCTACAACACCTACATATGTATGTACATATATTTTCTAATTGAAATGCAAATGAAAAACCAAATACTAAAATTAGCTTAAATATAAAAGTGAAGAGGCAGCACAGAAATCAGCGCCAGGCAACAACAGCAGCAGCAAATCGACAACAAAATACAAAAATCAAAGGGGAAAAAAACCAGCTGAACGATAATTCAAACGCAATATGTAAACACTTCAAATCTGGGAGCAGAAAAAAAAAAAAAAATAAAGAAACAACAACATTGAACTATAAATGCAAATGTGTTGGTGTCTAAGAAAAATGTAAAGAAAGAAAGGAAAGAACAAGCAGCAGAGTAACAGCGCCAGCGAATGCGACGCCGCTGCAACAGCGCAGCTGGCCCAGGCGCTTGCAGTTTTTGGGGGCGGGCGTCAAGTTGGGGTGGGAGTGAGAGACGTCGCCTTGGTCTGTGCTGCGTTTGGTATTTCGGCGCTGTGCGTCTCGCTTCGTCTCGTCATGGCTCGGCTTGGCTTGGCTTTTAATACACACTCACACACAGACACACACACACAAGTGACAACTGACTTTGTTTGTTTACGCGATGACACAATTCTAAATCTGTATTGGTATCTCGCTCCCACTCGTACACTGTATTCGTATGCATGTGCATGTGTATGTGTGTGTTTGTGTGCTTAAACTGGGCTTTGTTTGCCAAGGTTTGAGGTTTACGATTTGATTTTATGACACTTTATGCTCAGGATTTGATTAAGTTCCCGTATAACAACGACAACAACTTGTTATTTAACCTAACACGGCAAATAGGAAAACCGTTTTTCTTTACCAATATCGGAACATACAATACCCAGGTGAGTGACATTTCAGATTATGTCATGCATTGTTGTTAATCTGTACAGAATTCCCTTTGCATTTCCACTTATATTTCGCACTCTGATTATTGTTTACGCTACTTACGTTTCCGCTTAAAATTGAGCGTTGTCAACACTAAAACGAAACTCACCTGCAATGAGAAAGAGAGAGGGAGAATGCTGATTAACAAATGCAGCGTGAACGCAACTCGAATGATAAATCAACTGGCTAAAAATACAACAACAATAATGACAAGAACAGCAGCAGCAGCAATAACAGCAGTAACGCCGACGTTAGCGCTGACGTCGACGTCAGCGGCCAAAAAAGGCAAACAATTGCAAAAATCTGCATGTGGCTGCCGTGCGCGACGGCCAAAGCGAAGCTAAAAATATTTCTGCTCGCTTAGATATCCAAAATTAGCTGCGACGTTGCGACGTCAGCAGAGAGAGAGTGACAGAGAGAGAGAGAGAGAGAGAGTGAGAGAGAGAGAGCGACGATGGCAGAGGCGGCAATGGCGACGCTCTCGACGTCACCGTTGAGCGGCGCGTCGCTGACGTTTTGCGGCTGCGACTGCGGCAGCTGGCAGCAGGTTGGCAGAAAGTCTGCCACTGATAACGGGAAATGGCATGCCAACACCAACAACTGCTCAACATGTCTCACTCACACTCGCACTCACACTCTCTCTCTGCTCTCGCCCAGCCGGCAGTGGCCGCAACTGGCGTGCTCTCTTCATGCAGCTCTGGGCAACGCTCACGCCAAAATAAACAAAACAAATGTAAAGTGCGCCCCTTTGCGACGTTATGCTGCGACTGCCGCCCCCCGCATACTGCTCTGTACTGAGCGAACCATTAAAATAAATATGTGGGCATAACAAAAACGAAAATTGTACGCGAAATGTGCCGCAAATGGCAGCAGATTTGCCATTAAAATGTACACAGAGGCTTTATGTTATACACTGAGAATGAGCGACAACGTGTGAGAGTGTGGGAGAGCGCGTGCGAGGGTGAGTGAGTGAGTGAGTGCCAGAAAGCATAGACAAACAATCGTAGCATAACAAAAGAAATTGACAAAACACTAGTGCGGGGCGCTGTTAAAGAGCTGTTAGCTAACAGTCGCGTGTGTCGAACAGACTGTTAAACTTGGCAACAAAAAGCAATTTGAACTATAATAAATTGATTAGAGGTTTCAGCGTTTATTTTAGAACAAATTTCTGTTTGACTTCAATAGATACAAGTTTGTTTCTCAACAAAAAATTAATTAGTGAAATCAAACGCTTGTTTTCTCAACTTTTCATTGCTTAATTTTGTGTTGCCGCCAATGAAAATTGCACAAAAAAATGGGAAAATTAATTTAAAAGCATTCTTGTTTAAATATTTTTAGGTTCCTTTTCCATTTTTCAACTAATTTTTCGTGCAGTAGCAACAATTAAATAAAAACTTAAACACGTATACGCACTGTATTGCACTTGAATAAAAATTTAAAAACTTCCTATATAATTGTTGTTGTTGTTGTTATTGTGGCTGTCAAGCGTCACAAGTGCCGCATCTGTTTTGTAAATTAATTAATATATTTTACACGTAAGTGCAAAAATAAATCATCAACAGTGGCAAGTGCAGAAAAAAGGGAACAATTTTATTATAAAAACAAAAAATACGTGCATAATTAAATTTTAAAGTATTATTTACAGACACACGCAGTTGCATAGAAATAAATTAACAATATAACAAATACTCTAAAATATGTTTTTTTTTTAAACTAAAATTAGTTTTCTCAACTTTGAATAAAATACAAAGCATGCATGTGCTTACAGTTTGTACGTTTGTTTGAAACTAAATAAAATATTTATAAATATATATACAAATATTTATACTCTAGTACATAAGGCTAAGGTTTACAGCACAGCAAAATATAATTATAGAGTATATCAAATGTGTTTGTATATAGCAAAAGGCAATATAAAAATGCAAGTGATAGCCAACAGCAGCGACGTGCTGACAAATTCAATTAGCCTGACAACTAGAGTTGGCCAATAGATGACAACAACAACAACAACAACAACAACAACAGCAACAACAAAATGACATGAGGCAAATTTTAAATGTGAGAAGTGTGAAACGCGTTAAATGTGTGAAATGAAAATTGCATTATGCCAAGAGGAAAATATTTGAATAATTGATTTTTGTTTTTCTGAACTGGCATTTACAGTTATTTGTGAAAGCCAGAAATATGTGCATAAAGCCTCGCATTAAATGAAGGAATTTCAGTTAAGAGTACTTCACAGTAAACTGAGTAAAGGTTAAGCAAAACAAACAACTTCGGCTCGCACTTGGTTGAATTCTTTAATTGGAGTGAATATATATTTGCACTAAAATATACCCTATATATATATGCGTATACGCATTATAATAAATATTATCCGAATAATAATACAAATATGCCCTATAGATATGGCCAAATATGCAGTTCAAGTCTGTCATAGATATTTTTAACATTTCCAATTACATATTACGTATACGCAATGTATCACTCAATAATTAAATCAT